GGGTTTCCGATCACTGTCAGTGGCAGGGGGCTTCTTCCTGCTTTCCCTTTCGCCTCCCTGCATTGTGCCTACATATGCAAATTAACCACCATCTTGTTGGCAGTTAACTGCCAATCTTAGTTGGCAGTTAATTTGCATATAGCCCTGATTAGCCAATGAAAAGGTAGCATCGTATGCCAATTACCATTTCTTTCTTTTATTAGTGTAGATATTCAAAAATTTAAAACGTTGAAAAAATACAATAAACAGTCATATACCCTTCACTTAGGTCCAACGTTGTTAACATTTTTCCATATTTATTTCATCCCTTCTCACACACATTTCCATTGTCATTGAACCATTTGGGAATAGGTTGCAGACACCTAATATTCAGTAGATGCCCTACAATTTCCAGCATGTATTTCCCACGATTTATAAAGTTCTGCAAAACATGATATTATCACAACGAAGGAAATTAATAATTCTGTACTATTTAAAATCCATTATGTAAATTTTCTCATTTGACCTAAGAATGTCTTTTCCTCTACTCCCCTGGCAAAGAAAGAATCAGGATTCAGTCAAGGTTCCTATGTACTGGGGTATTGTAACTCTTTAGCCTTAATGTAGAATAGTTCCTTTTTTTTTTTCCTTGTTACATTGGCACTTTGAAGAGTTCAGGCCAGGGTCTTTGTCTCTTATAAATCAGAAGCTGGTCTACAGACTTGATTAGATTCTACTAAACATTTTTTTTTCGAGCACACTTTACAGTATTCATACTTTTCCAATCATAATTATGCCTTCCAAAATGCAGCTACATCTACCCCTGCCATGAGTTGAATTCATTCCACTTCTCAGCACATGCATCTTTCTGTGGTGTCTTACAGTTTAGTATTTAATGCTCCTGTGTGTGTGGAGTATGCATTAGTGCCCTGGACTGGCAAGATTGACTGCCTGCCTTTATTAAATGTTGCTATTTTTCCTACCCTTGGAGCTGACGCAATGTAATCTGCAGCAAAGTGTACTGATGTCAGCATAGTTTTTGAGTTTCAACTCATGGCTCTCCAAGGACTGTTGATGAAAGATGTGTGGGCCCTGCAGTTCATATACAAATGAATCTTGATGTTACCAAAGCAGACATTGAGGCAACTGCTGGCATCTGACCACATTTCAATTTAGGCAATGTTATTTTTCCTTCTGAAATTCTCTTGCAAGTCCTAATTGGTCTTGGTGTTCTGTGATAGCTTTTTGGTAACATTCATCGAAGCCTATGAAAATTTGCAAAATCAAGATTATACTTAATGGTACATTAGGAAAATTTTCTGCCCAATGGATAGAGACGTACTTCCAGAATTTGCTTGATGATCATGAGAAAAACTCCCCAAACTGCCAAGCTCAGTAGTTCTCATATCCTAGACTTATTTTTTGATCATTAAAGATAAGTGAAAGAAAGAAAATGCACGTAAGGGAGCAGAAGGAAATGCTCTGGGAGGGCAGAAATTGAAAGTTTAGTAATGTACTCCATCAGTCACTTCTTTTGTGGAGAAGGAATTTTGCTCATATGGGACTGAAATAATTTTAAGTTGACTTCATATTCAAGTAAGGCAAAAGAATATACCAATTAAGACCACAGATTTTAGAATCAGATCTGGGTTTCCAGAACAGGGCCATTCACTAGCTGGTGACTTTGGACAGTTTATCACCTATTAAATAGAGCTATAAAACCCCTTAGGATTGTTGAACAGAATGACTCAACTATATATAAAGTGCTTTACTTAGTGTATAGCACTGGTATGTAGTCAGTGTGGGGTAGTTATTATTAATAACTTCTAAAGCAGTCCAGTTCGGGCACATGGGCATGAATTTATTGAGTAATAATGAATCTAAGACAGTGGTTCTCCAAGTTTAGTATGGGGCTCTTAATAAAATAAGCAGAGATTTTGATTCAGAGAGCCTGGGGAAGCCTCCAGAAAAATCTACTTTTAATAATGGTCCAGGGGATTTTGATGCAGGTGAGGATCAAATACTGAAGGAATTATCAAATTTTTCTCCTTCCTTGTATACTGTTGAAATAGCTGTATATCTCAGATGCTGAGAATGTAAGAAATTCTTCAAATACCTTTTTAAAAGGTTAATAACATTTTTAGGACCACTTTCTAGTCCTGAATTTTAAAATGGCAAAAATTATTAGAAAAAGACATTTTGCATGAGTAGGATGTTGTGTCATTTTTTACTAACTTAATAATGTCTTCTACTGGAGTATACCAGAACCAATGCCATCATCCAGGTTCGCCCAAGAAGAATAGTTCCTGTTCTTAGGCCTAGGCACATTCCAGAAGCTAGACACCACACATTTCATTCCCATGAGTCTGGAGTCATTAGCTAAATTGAAACATGTTGCAACATTTTTCTACCAGCAGATGCCAGATAGCAGAACAGAACAGAATATGGCTTCCAACTACATGACATATGAAGTTATTTGGCATCTCCAGATGAGCATTATCAAACCAAATTAGGCACCCAACTAGCATGTGGGCAGCCATTCCGTGAGCATTACTACATGGTGTCTGCTGAAAAACACTTTCTTTTGGGGCTCCCTCTTTTACCTTTTTTTCATGTTAGCTCACATTCATAAATCTGCTTTTGAAAATCCATCTATTAAGTCAACCACAAGTCTTGGATAAGACAAAAGATAAACATTTTTGCTGTTTTTCCTACCAGTCCTGCTACCCCCATCCACAACCTGAACTAGCCAGATTGAATTTACTTAAAGCAGGAGTGGAGCCAAATAAGGCCTGTGAAATCATTTGGTCTGGCCGTGTGAAGGCACACAGGCAGGACTCCAAATTCATTAAATCTAGGAGCTTTTTTCATAGCAACATAAATATATGTTAAGTGAATGATGTTATGAATATACAAATGGCCCTTGACAGAAAAAAGATTCCCCACCCCTGACTTAAAGGAAACTAACATTAAATATTCACAAAAGAAAAATGTCCTGTCTTTAACACAAACAGGATTGCTTCTGATGTCTCCCTCAGTTCCCAGATTGTATTTTTTGCTTCTTAATACACATTAATTATAAAATAGGACAGTTTGGCATATATGTTGCAGTGGCTCTATTTTACTGAAGTTGCAAAGTCACATGCCTGTAGCTGCTGGCTTAAGGTAAGGAGAAGCAATACACTATAGTGGAAACAAGAGAACTCCCCATGCTCATCTAAATGGGGCATCATTTCCCAGCTTTAGCTAATTTTGCCATGTGGGAATATGGGCCTCATGTTGCTATATGTGTCAATAAGAGCTGAAATTTGAACTTTAGGTAACATATCCTGCTTTTTAAACATTGGTTCAAATAATTTTTAAGCATTTAGCAAGCCAGCAAAACATTTAACTAGATAGAACCAAGGGCTATCAGTTTATTACTTCTGTGTCTCTTACATGAAAACATGATTGGTACTTTGGTTGAGAATCTCAGAATGCTTAAGCAGTGTTTTCTTTTTGCCATATTTCAGGTGCATTTACTTATCTAGTTAGGCAACAGGTGACTTGTCACCTTCATCAGAAATTCAAGATAGGTACTTATGTACACCAGGCTTCTATTCCCTTAATGATAGTTTTGAAGGTTTTCACTTGTGCCGCCAACTTAAAAACTTGTCCATATTTTTTCTACCTTGGACTATACTATGAAATAGGTTTGCTTTATTATATTTTTAAAAATATATTTAATATTCAAATATCAAAATAAGATTCTTGTACTAAATTGCCTTTGTAATGTGAGAATGTATTAGTCCAAACTAATAAAATATTAATATATATATATATATTTAAGAACACATTTACCAGCACATGCTCTTGAAAAATAAATAAGTAAAACTGATTTTAAATGGAAAACACCTTCATATTGTCTTATAGTTACCATGGTGCTAAGGAGGACTCAAAGAATGTTTAGTGTAGAAAGGTACTTAACTGAAAACCTAGCAAATCCTTTATTATAGCAATATGAAAATCAGACCTGGGATAATAAGGGCAAACAATATTTCTAAGCACTTTTATATCCACTTTCCACTTAAACTTTGAAACCCAGGACATATACTAAACATGTTTTTTTATGAGAAAATCAGACCTCCAATTGGTTACACAATGTATTCAAGGTCACACAGCACTAGAGCATCCAGAATACAGTCCTGTACACTATTTAAGGTATAAACATGATACTTAGAAAACAAAGGAAACAAAGAAGACAAACTCCAGTACAAACTTGTTTTAAATTATAAATTGGATTTTACTGTTGAAGCTTATTTAAAATACTTGGAATCCTACATACTCTGAAGCATTTAAATTCAAACATTTAAAATGGGGTCCTGTACAATTAGGATAAGCTGGTAAGTTTTAGGTAAATTAATGGATGGATAAGAAGAATTATGATGAAGAGCTAATGGCTGGTTGGAGTGGTAGGCACATATGGATGATAACTACATTGACCTACAGAATGGCTCCTTGGGGCACCTCGCAAAGGTTAAAAATGGATTGAGGAGACTAGTGTGACTTAGGAGGACAGTTTTAAAAATACCTAAATACTGTACTGAGCATTTTTAGAAACCACGACTTGGCTTTGGCACCCACAGTATGTTTTAATTTTGATATTTCTGATCCATAGTATATGATGCTTTGCATTACCAGGAATTGAATTTGGATTTTAGTAATCTATTCTCTTTGTCTGCCCCCTATATACTATAGCCTACATTTTCCAGATGCCTAGATGAAACTAGGTTACAATTTAAAGCTAATAGTCTTGTCTAGCTCTTTAACCCATGATCTTGGACTTATCATATGTTCATGTATCTGTGAGAAAAAATACAAAACTTGTAACTTTAAAGTGTTGCATATTTCTAATTAAGGTTGCGATTTTAAAGTTCCAGTGGCATCTTTTAAAAATAATGCTAATGCTATAAACAAAGACCACAAATAAAAAGCAGTATTTTTTCCTGCTAAATTTCTTTCAGGGTAGTATCAAACAGGACAACTGGAATGCTGAATCCTCCATTAGAGCCATACAGTAATCTGATTTTGACACAATTCTCAAACTAAAGAGAAAAAAATGCAGTGCTTTAGTCAGTATGCTGCACTTACATTTGTATCTTGAGATTTTTGTTCTATTCTTTTATTTTCATCCTCCTTTGCAAAGATAATTAGTAGCTTCAAAACTGCCCATTTCAGCAGAAATTGAAGATCATATTACTTTAACCTTCATTGGCTTCTACACTCTATAGTCTACTCTCCTCTTATTATCTTAAATGTTGGTGTTCTTGCAATGGGGCACCATATTAAATCCATTTGGGGATCTTCAGGCCATTCCCACAGAGAGAAAACTGAAGAGACCAGGCTTTGGAGTCAGGCTTGAGTTCAAATTCTCTTTCTCTACTCACCAGCTATTGATGTTGAACAAGACAGACCTGGTTTGAGTCTGTTAAATTTAATTATGTATGAGGGGATGCAGTGGAGGGTGAGTAAATGAGTAATTCAATTCAAAAGTTACCTCTTAGGGTAAAAGATATTTTCAAAATTACTATAGAAATCCCTTTGAATATCTATGTAGTTAAAATACATGATTTTGTACTAAAAACTTCTGTTATTCTTAAGCAAACTAAAAATTAAGAGCCACTATGATAAACTGTAGGAAAGAAGCTAAAGTAGATTTGTAGGCATTGAAAGTATTCTTCCTTTAAGATAACTTTTAAGATAAAAAGTGTGTGAAGGAATGAGTGGACAATTATAAAGTGTTCCTGCTTGCCTGTAGGTTTTTCTTCATTGTTTTTGTTTTTCAAATAAATATATAAACTTTGAATTGATTTCAGAAAGGAAGGGAGAGAGAAGGATAGAAACATCAATGAGAGAATCATTGATCAGCTGCCTCCTGCACACCCCCCACCAGGAATCAAGCCTGCAACCCAGGCATGTGCCCTGACCTGGAATGGAACTGTGACCTCTTGGTTCATAGGTCAATGCTCAACTATTGAGCCACATTAGCCGGGTTCATTCTGTTTTATTAATAAGCCTCTATAACTCTAATACATGTCAATAGGCTATTATTCCTAAGTATCTAATTTAAGGACAACACTGTAATGGTATAACAGTAAGAGTCACTGAAATTTATTGAGCTTTTACATGTGCTAAGGACTGGTCTAATGGCTTTACCATTAATTCTCTTATTTAATAAACTAAGTTAATGCTATTATAAGCTTTATTTTATCAATGAAACTAAGGCCTAGAAAATTAATTTGTTTAAATGACTCATCTGTCTCCAGGTCCTTCTCTTAGGCACTACACTAGACTCTGATCTCTATATGCTCTATACCACCAATCCTACCACCATCTGCCATCTTTCCACATCCTTCTTAAGTGAGATTACACTGAGTGGCCAAATTATTATGACAACCTGACATTTGTAGGCAAATTAGCTATAATTTCGCGCTGAAGTTGCTAGAGGGCCAGATCATTATAAATATCTGAATAGCACAACATACCTAAGTGTTATTGCTGATCAAGTTCATCCTATCATGTGGATGGCATATCCCAATGGAGATGGCTTCTTCCGACAAGACAATGTGCCATGCCACAGTGCTCATATTGTTCAGGAGTGGTTTCAAGAACATGAGGGAGACTTTATCTTGCTTAGGTGGCCCCCACAATCACCAGATCTCAATCTAATTGAGCATTTGTGGGATGAAGTTAAAAGAGCCATCAGGCAGCTGGTTCCACAACCATCAAATCTCACAGAACTGGACAGTGCTATTCATCAGGCATGGTTTCAGATTTCTCGCATCACCTTTCAACATCTCGTGGAGTCAATGCCAAGAATAGCCGCAGTATTGAAGGCAAAAGGTGGCCCAGCGAAGTTCTGATGGGATGGTCATAATAATCTGGCCACTCAGTGTATATCCATTTGTGTAGCTTAAACTACTGTAGCACTGACTCTCTGGGTCTCCAGTTCTTTTTACTTTCCTATTGGACTTCCACACTCAATGGGGCTGAACCTCATTCATGGTCTTTACCTTTCCCTCCTAACCTGTTTCTCCTGTGTTCCCAACTTACATTAATACCTGCAACCATCCACTCAAACATGTTAGCTTGAAATCTCAGTCATCCTTGATCATTTCCTTATCATCCAAAAGGTGTAGGGGGACATGGGGATTGGGGATGGACGTTTAAATCTGAACTTCAAGCTCTTGGCTCGGTCAAGGCTGAGCATGAACTGGCCTCCACCTTGCCAGTCCCACCACAGTACATACACTGAGTTTTGTGGGGGGCTTTTTAATCCTCACCCTAGAATGTTTTCATTGATTTTTCAGAGAGAAGGGAAGGAGGGGAGGGAGACAGAGAAAAACATTGATCAGTTGCCTCCTGCATACACTTCGACTGGGGATCAACCTGCAACTTAGGTATGTGCTCTAGCTGGGACTTAAACCTTTCGGTATGTGGGACGATGCTCCAACAAATTGAGCCACCCAACCAGAACTGGGCTTTTTTTTTTTTTAATGCTTCTTTCTTTGAACATATTTTTCACTTTGTCTAGAACACCTTCCCCTTGCCTCACAACCAGCTCTCTTCATAGTGAACCCCCATTCATCCTTCTGGGACTAGTCCCAATGTCGTGTAGTGATTCTTAAGAGACCAGCCACTGTCACCTATCCTGAGCCAAGTCACTCATCATTTTGGTTTCTTAAGGCACAGCAGATATGCTTTTATTAAATTTAAATTTAAACTATGTTCAATTGTACCTATTTATTTACTTGGGTTTCTCCTCCATCTCACCTCCCCCAAATTCCTCAAGGAGAGGAATTGGTTCTTATCCACTGTATCTCCCTCATTTAATTGTGGCTGGCACATTACAGACGTTTAGTACCTTTGTTGAAAGAAAAAATCTGTTTGCATAGGCACACATGATCCCAAATTCTCCTTCTTATATTACATTTATTTTCTACTCTGAAAGAATAATCATCACAGAAAACAGCATCCTTTTCAATTCCAGTGTTTACATCCAAAGCTTAATACCAGATATATAGCCATTAACTTTATTTTTTATGTTCAGTAATCATTTTGTTAATGTGCAGTTTGTTTTGATCAATTTTTCACTAATTGTAACAACTCAATCCAGAATATTTTTTTAAGTTTTTCATTTACATTTATAAATATTTTTTTGTGTAAGTATGATAGGATGATAATAAAAATGTGTTCAAGGATGAAAATATATTAAAGTAAAATTAAGTGGAATGGAAATAGAGGTCTAGTGAGAAAACAATGTAAAATAACTAAAAAATAAATTCTTTTTTAGTTAATGGATAATGGTAGCTATCAAACTACTCTAATATTTAGATTATTCTGGGTATATTTTTCAAAGACTGATATAAAAGTTATTTTTAAGTATGCTGGAAATTATATCCTTTAGAAGTAAACATAACAAATTTATGTCAATTTAGAAATATGTAAAAGAGTAGTTTATCTACCCAGTTTTTCAAAATCTGTGGGGGTTATGGAAGCATAAAACTTGAAGGCCACTGATATATAGTCTCGAGCTTCAAAAGCATGCTTTAGTGCTCTAGTCCCACACCCGCAATTTAGTTTACCAAACTAAATCACCTTATAGATTTTTAACATCCATTCTCTAGGAGAAATTGCAAACTAAAGGAACCATGGGGGGGAAGGAAGCAGATTATTTTCTAATTACCCAGACCAAGAGCTTCAAAAAATGATTGACAGTGCATTCTCTCTAAGCAGTAAAAGTTTAGGTTCTATTAGTGTAAGTTTTATTTCTGCAGTTTCATGTTTTAAAATGCCTTGACAATCTATATCAATTTTAACCAGTTAACTACCATGCATCCAAAATGGGACTATATTGGAATTTCTTCCACATGTGCTGGAATATTTATGAATTTAAGTTACCATAATTTTCTTTACAAACCCAGAGATGTCACTAACAAGTCTGATTTTAAAATTGGGCGACCAGAGTTGATATGCGAGGTTTGCAGCTATAGACGTGCGTGGCGTGGGGGGAAGGTCCACCACTTGCGTACAAAGATGCTTATGGCGTACAAAGGGTTAAAGTCTGGCGTGGTGTTCCATATGATTCCGTTGTATGGCTATTCCATAATGTAACTTTTGACATATTGGTGAACATTTACCCATTTATCCATTGCTGAACATTTTATTTTATCAATGGAGTGCTTTAATGAACATTGTTATTCTTACATCTTCATCCACCCCTGCTGTTTCTTTAGGGCTCATTACTTTTAGTAGAATGTTTGGGTCAAAGAAAATGTACGTATTTAGTTTTTGTAAATACTACAAAATATTGATAGCTATTATAAAATATCCTAAAAGAAATCTACCAACAAACCCACCGAACAACAGAGCGGGCCCATTTCTCTTTTCTAACTGCAGATACTATCAGGCTTTTGACTTTTTTTGCAATTTTAAAAGACATAACATACACACCAAAATGAGAATGATTTTTACCTTAATGAGGCTGTAGTGATTTTCCTGTTTAAACTGCAATGCATGACCCCCAGCATTCCTAAATCCCTTTATTTTTTCTATATCATGTACTATCTCCTAGCATTGTATTATTTCTCTCCTCTTATTCTAGTCTGCAAACTCCAAAAGGGCAAAGTTTTTTTTGTCTCTTTTGTTCACTAATTACTAGTGCCTGGCACATGGTAGACAGATAATTATTGAATTGAATGACGTGGCAGTTTTATGATAAACATGAATTTCAGCCATAGCTGGCATGTTTCTTCTTTGACCCATCTGTCTCTGTTACACACGTCTTCCCAATGAGAAAGTGCCCTTAGAACAGTCACAGCTTCTTAGGCCATGTTACACCTTACAGAACACCCAGGTTTGGCTAGTAGCAGGCCATCTGAAGGAAATTAATGTTCCTTCCTACTCTGACTCCCTGGGCAGTTGATTATGTAGCTTTGCCGATGTGGCCATCCAGCCACCACCATGCTTATTTTAGCCCTTCCCTTCCTGTTTCTCTCCTGCCAGTGCCTAAGGGGACCGAGGAACAAGAACCAACCCTAGTAAAGTATTCCACCCAGGCAAGTGATGGCACTGATCTTCCCCACACCTGGCCTTTGGCCCACACCCTTTCCATAACAATGGCAGCTTAGTCAAACTGAGAACTAAGGTTTGGTGGAGCAAATGTCACTGTTTTCCTCCGGCCAGAATTTGGATGTGAAAGAGGTATATACCAAAGCAAGCAAAGGAGTGATTGAATTTCAGGTGGCTGGCATTGCTAACCTATAAAACAGCTACTAAGAGTTTAGTATTATTCACCCACCAGTTTAGCATTTTGATAAAAAGTTGGTGACAAAAATGTTTAGCTGTTATGTATTTCCTTCACATTTATCAACATCTATAGGGTATAATCTCCTTTTCAGTAGCAATGTCAGATTAGGCCCAAATAAGGGCGTACTGAATATTTTCATTGATATCTGTAATGGAGATGCTATGTTGTTTCAGTTATATTCAGGGTAATCAAGTATCTGTAGTGTTACTAGCCTTCAACATAACCCGCGGGGGCGGAGAGGAGGGGGTAAGGATGATTACTAGGTACCTACCACTGGCAGGCCAAAGTGCAAGAAGGAAAGAATGTGGCAGGAAGAACTGTGCATTCTAAGGAAATTGCATATGCAGTTATCGCAGATTCCAGTTAGTGATGAGTTGCTTGCTTTATTCTCTAGTCCATCCCCCATTTCATCTTCACTCCCAAAAAGAGCAGCATAATGGTAAGATTGCTGCTTAGATGTTCTGGAATAGGAACTTGAATGAGGGGAAGAGGCTTGGTGAATGAAGAGTAGGAAGCTTTTATCAGGAATGTCAAAGTAGTAGTGGAGTGGGAATAACCTAAGCAGCTTCATTTGATTACAACTCATTTGCAGTGGGCGGTTAAGGCAGGCACCAAGCCAGCATCACCACTTTATAAATAATAAATCTGTGGTGGTGATGTTGTGAAAGACACATGGTAAGGTTGCATCAGCATCGGTATGGCGAAATATTACAAAAAGGGTGGGACTATCTGGAGAATCACCTGTGTGGAAAGGGATCAGGCTACAAATTAGGTCCAGAATACCTTGAATGTATAGCGTAGCTATAATCTGGGATGTAACAGTGGGAACAAATGTCATCAGCCAGAGATGGCATATATGCTAAGATATTCACGAAATACTCATATAAGGGTATTCACATTGGTGTTTAGCATATAGTATTTCTATATTGTGGAAAATAGCAAACTGAAAGCATACCTCATTTCTGTTCAAGAGCCAATTTCACCTGTTTGCTACTTTCTTACAACTTGAAAGTGTGCAGCCAGTAACTGATCCTTAGGATGCCTTTTGCCATTATAGCAAAAGGATTAAAGTAGAAACCAGCTATTGAGAGAAGTGAGAATGTTAGGAAATGTTTACCTCCTACCTCATCCTTTCCCTTAATTACCTCTTACCTCCTTCCAAATGGTCATGTTATTTACGTCACCCACCATTCAGGGAAGATACTATCAGTAAACCAAGGTGGCCGCACACAAATGCCAGCACACAAATGCTGTCTTCCTCAGCTCACATCTACAAGATAATCATCTTTGTCTAAACAAGTGCCAATTTTTCACTGGGGGGTGGGAGGTGGGGTAAATCTAGAATATGCAGTCTTCCAATTAACACTATTGACCAGTGAAAGTTGACAAGATCTAGATGCTTATATGAACTAGCTCAACCATATTTCATTTACAAAATCCATAAGAAATTAAGGGGGAAATTATATGAGGATAGGTATTTATTATAAGAATTTGATTTTACTTCTTAAATCACAATGGAAATGTCACGCAATACATTGGGAATTCATTCTTGAATAATACTAATAATTGATTTCTTCTTGAAGGAAAAACTATATCCAGCCATTCAGATATGGCAGAGGTGAAGTCCATGTTCCGGGAAGTTCTTCCAAAACAAGGTATTTAAATCACAATTACTTAAGTGGTAGGATATAATAGGAACATAAGAAGTAATAGGCAGGGCTCAATAGCTAAGAATCTGAAACTACTGTGTTCTGTGTCCCACATTTACTATCCATCAATCGTTTATTTTTCCCAGTAAAAGGATGACAAATGAAGCACTGTTTCTTAAACCTAGAAAGCCTGTTATATTCAAGATTGCAGGTTACAACCAAAATTCTTAATGAAAAAGCACACTGTAATACACCATAATCTCTCCCTCTTTCTCTCTGTGTGTGTGTGTGTGTGTGTATAAAAAGCCTAAGCAACCATTAATACCAAACGACCAGAACACCTGGTCAACCAGTTGCTATGACACACACTGAACACCAGTGGGCAGACGCTCAATGCAGGAGCTGGCCCCTAGTGGTCAGTGCACTCCCTCAGCCACCTTCCTGCGGCCCCTCCCCATCTGGCTGGCCCCGATCAGCCCCTGGTGCTAAACCATTCATAGAGACCTGCTCTGGGTCAGGGTTTCTTTTTTTTTTTAAATTTTTTATTACAAAGGGTATTACATATGTGTCCATTTTCCCCCCCGCCCTAGACAGTCCCCTAGCCTCCCCTATCCCCCAGTGTCTTATGTCCATTGGTTGGGTCAGGGTTTCATAGGTAGCAGAGCAGCTCCCTTGCTGTGATCTATTGAAAGTCAGCCCTTGACACAAGGGTTTGTCTTGCTCCTGTCCTCTCCCTTCCCCAGGGGCCGCCCGCCTGCCGTGGTGGTGGTGTGGAGGCGAGGGGAGGAGAAGGGGTGAGGCGGGGCACCGACAGTGGCAGCGGCGTCCAGTGTCCATTCCTTCCACACCTGGCCTGGCGACTGTCATCTCTCCAGGCCCCGGCTGGGACAGGGAAACAGGGGTGGGTGGTGGCAGATGTGGCCCCTTTCCCAGGGGGGCCAAGGGCCGGCTCCCACCTCAGGGCCAGCGGCCAACCTCCCGCGGTCCCTCCCCCTCACCTTCGTGTATGAATTTGTGTACCGGGCCTCTAGTATTAAATAAGGTCTGAATCTGGGTAAAAAAAAAAAACCCAAACCAAAAAAAAACCTAAATCAAACAATAGTAAGAAATGCTGAAGTTTTCAGTGAAACACTCAGGAATTTGAAATATTTGTGTTAAATTAATGCCATACTTCACTATGTAAGTATTTTTAGGTACTATGTATTTCTTCCAAATCTTTTGTTTCTTTATATGACTTAGAATCTTAGCTATAAAGTTTGAAACTTGTCTTCCTCATGAACTCCCTAGCATTAAATGCTTTTATGTTTATAAAATTTAGAAATGTTACAGGGGTAGACTATGAGAACAAGAGATTTTCATTATTAATGGGTTAAGTTTTTAGACCATTCTAACTGCAAATCTAAACTGCCAAACTACTGGATTATCTCAAATTCTTATTTCTTTTTAAACTTAGGGCATTTGTCTGTGGAAGATATAACCACAATGGTGCTGTGTAAACCCAAACTTTTACCCTTAAAATCTCTAACTATGGAAAAACTGGAGAAAATGCAGCAAGCAGCACAAGAAACAATTCGCCAACAAGAAATGGCAGAAAAGGACCAACAGCAAATGACTCGCTGAATAACTTAGCACTTCTACCTTACTATTAACAGTAGCTAGAAAATCCACCTGTATGCTGAAAGTAGTATGTGTTAATAAAACTGATATTCATATAGGTAATATAAAATACCCAAGACTAATGAAACTTGCATGGTTTGTAATGAATATAAGCCATTAACCAAACTAACCCAAATCTTGTGTTTTTTTATCCAAGTTTTTAGAACTACCAATTAAGTTAGTATTCACCATTACTATTACACAGCTGATAACATTCTTAGGCATAAGTGACTAAATACAACTTTTATATTCAGAGAATTTTTAATGTTTATTAAAAACTGAATTTAGAGATACATTCGAGTCTTGCATTAAGTGTTCATGATGGACTTTTACATTACCTAATTTTTTAAACTTTTTATGAACTTGGTGAGACATATTATGTTTAAGGCTATTTTGCCTTAAACAGATCCTACTAGTCATGACAAAACTCTATTTCTTAAAATAAACTTAAGAAACCCTCACATGAGCTTTTAATTATACTGATTTCAAGGACTTAATGAATTACTGGCTACCTTTATCATCCAGGTATCAAAACCCTAGAAATGGAAAACAACATGGATTTAAAAGAGCCCATGAGATAAACATGAAATTCAATCTGTAGTGTTAGTCCTAAAAGAGTGTACTGAAACCTGTAATAAATATATTCCCAAAAATACCTTTGTAAATTCTGAATATAATCCTTGGTTGGTTGGCTGCAATCAATAATAGACAATTTAAATTGGCAGACCTTAAGGCCTTCCTGCATAATTAAGGCTCTGCAAAAGAAGTTAGAAATGTGATTATTCTTCAGATAATTATTTATTGGAGACTATTTTCTCAGACGCTGAATAAATGCAGAACTTTGAGTCTCTTGAAGAATATTTTGAGACATTATTTGGTAATAGAACTTACTAATGATGAAAAAAGGCCCTGGCTGGTTTGGCTCTGAAGGGTCTCAGGTTCAATTCCCAGTCAAGGGCATGTATCTGGGTTGCAAATTCAATCCCCGGACCCTACTAGGTCGGGATGTGTTCAGGAGGCAACCAACTGATGTTTCTCTTCTCTTCTCTCTTTTGCTAATCCCTTCCTTTTCCCTTCCCTTCATCCCTTCCACTCTCGCAAAAAAAATAAAATAAAATAAATGGAAAGAATATCCTTGGGTGAGGGTTAACAACAACAAAAGAGAATGATGAAAGGTAACATATATTTTAGAAATTTCATTAGGCTATAGATAAAAACTTTTTTAAAGTGTGCATGCATTTCCCAAGTATAATAGTAAAAGAAATTATTACTATTGTATTTTTGATATAAAAGTTGGTAAGAAAGTTTAAATTCACTAGGTTCAAATGCACTCTCTTAGATGATTTTATTTGCTATATGAATAAAAGTATTTTTAAAAACCTAAAATAAATGTACTCCCAATAAAGAATCAACACTGTTTCACATGTTTTATTTTGTCATACATTCTTCTAGAACCGGGTTCATTTTTCCAGTTTTGTAGAAAAATAAAGTTCCAGCCACCATTTACTTAACTGTCTAGTCTTTAAGACCAATCAATATGTTCCCTGGAAAGATGAATAAGTCTCCTGACTAACTCATTTTCTTAAAATTCTTTAAGACAAAGAAATAACTTTTTTTTTTACTCCCAAAGCACAGTATTTCAACAGCAGCAGCCAAAATGGGGTTTTAGCAGCTTAACTTTACCCCCTAAATAAAGCTTTGTATAAACCAGTGATTTTACTACAAAAACACTGTCCTTGAAAGAAAGGAATAGCAATCTGACATCAATGCAAAACTTGGAATGATTAGGTCATAAACATGGCACTTACAAAAGGTAGCTTATGAGAACACTCCACTTAAGAAGTGGTTACTTTTCTGTCCCTCCTTTACACCATCAATAAAAAAAAAAAAAAAAGAAACACTTCCTTTAAAAATTCCCCTTAAATTTAAGTCTATAAAATTTCAGAAATGCCTTGTACCCAAAACAAGTGTTTAAAAACAAACAAAAAAACTGTGCTAACAACTCTTACAATTCAGATATATATATATTTTTATAACATCTAAGACTGCAAGAGTTCTTATATTCAGTAGCTCTCTGGTTTAAGACGACCTCCATCTCCTTCACTTACAAAACGTTTTCTGCCCCTGTAATGTAAAGAACATAAACATGAAAACATACAAATTCTGACTACAGTCAATTTAAACAACTTAGGTTATTCATTAAGCTTTGAAAGGTTTTATTTTTTTAAAAAGTCAGTATGGCTCTAAAGCTTTTATAAAACTCTCTTCCTGCTATATTTTTCCTAGAATTCAATATCCTATTGAATAAAAGCTTAATTATTAACATAAGTTCATCATTCAAAGGGTGTCATGTTAAAAAATGTTAAAATATAGGATGTTTGTTAGAAATTTAATATTTATTTCTACTGTTATTATTATTATTTGAAAGCTAAACAGCCAAATAGGAAACAACAATATAATCTGGAATTATGCAAACTAGAGCTATACAACCTATCAAAATATCCATGTTTTAAAATATCTTAAAAAAATTTTTTTTTCAGATGTAGAAAAGCCATAACCTGAATATGGAAAAATAAATGAGAATCAAATTAATTCCAGTCCATACCCCTTTTGGGGATTCATGTTATTTCAAGTGACCTTGCTCTGTACTGTAACCACATTCTAGCTACATGTAGTAGCAACAGCCCAGGAGAAATAGTTGACCACCAGCCTAAAGCAGTAAGCGGAAAACAGAGCTTGGGCAGAATTAGCCCTTATTCTCTGACCCTAGACCAGGGGTGGGCAAACTTTTTGACTCGAGGGCCACAATGGGTTCTTAAACTGGACCAGAGGGCCGGAACAAAAGCATGGATGGAGTGTTTGTGTGAACTAATATAAATTCAAAGTAAACATCATTACATAAAAGGGTACGATCTTTTTTTTTTTTTAGTTTTATTCATTTCAAACGGGCCGGATCTGGCCTGCAGGCCGTAGTTTGCCCACGGCTGCCCTAGACCAACATGCACAGGCACTTGAGAACACACACAAATGTGCAGTTCACAAACTAAGCAAAAGGAGAGAGGATAAATAGTCAAAAGTTTAGGTATCTCTTCAAATGACACTCGATAGTAAGGCCATAACAGAAGTAACTGGTTAGACCTTTGAACAGAGGCTGAAACTTTTAAAAAGCTAGTGCCAGGGTGTTGGCCCTTTTTCACACTAAGTCTAACTGTAAACCAGCTATATTTTTGTGAACATAAAGACATACACTGTAATATTAGGAGACCAAGGTGGGGAACAAAACAGTAAGCTGCGAGAAGTCTTGCCAAAGTTGACAGTTTAACAGATGTATACCACTTGGCACATCAATACATAAAGAATGCCATCACCAAGTAGAGATCTACATTTTCAAATATTTTTATCAAAGTCATTAAACTATATCTTCCACTGTTATCTTTTCCTTCTCTCTTAATGGCTTCCATTTTCTACAAGGGACACTGCCAGGAAGTATTTCTCTGAGATTTAACACTCACAATATACTTAAATAAAAATACACAAACTTTCAAATATATTTTTTTTAGAAAAAAAGCCCTAACCGGTTTGGCTCAGTGGATAGAGAGTCGGCCTGCGGACTGAAGGGTCCCAGGTTCGATTCCTGGGCATGTACTTTGGTTGCAGGCACATCCCCAATAGGTGATGTCAAGGGCATGTACTTTGGTTGCAGGCACATCCCCAATAGGAGATGTGCAGGAGGCAGCTGGTCGATGTTTCTCTCTCATTGATGTTTCTAACTCTACCTCTCTCCCTTCCTCTCTGTAAAAAATCAATAAAATGTATTTTTTTAAAAATACACAAACTTTGAAAATTTTTGATGAAAATTATAAAAACTTAAAATGTAAAATAGACTCTCAAAGATTAGCTATTACTAAAGAGTTAGATCCTCGTAGCACAAATATAAAGTAAGATCCAATTAGCCCCAATTCTCCATTCTATGAAGGAGCAAAAGAAAGCAACTTAAGAGTACAGGAATGATCCTAACATCTTTGAAGCCAGAAAAAGTCTGGATTGATCCTTGGCCTCTACCATTTGTGACCTTAGAAAAGGCATATTACACCTCCCTAAGACTCAATTTTCTCATTGATGATAACATCGATACTGAAATAGTATTTTAACTTCTTAGAAAAGAACTCCACAAATTTTGACTTCCAGTGGTTTTATGAGATTAAATTCACAAGGGGGCAAAATAAGCTTCACCCTTGTTTCTCCACAAACACAAAATAGACGACTTTCACTCTTGAGTGGCTCCAGGGAAGTATTAGTATTATTTTTCTGACAGAACTGGAATGATAGAAAATTAGCTTAGCCTTCTAAGCACCTCAGTATTTTAAGTTGAAAAAGTAATAAAAATACCTTGAAGGACAAAGATCTCTGAGTTGTTTGGAAATTACTCCAGCCTGAAAACATTCTTCTACAAATCTCTCAAGCACGGAGTATGAATATGGGACATCCAGATTAATGTCCGGAATTTCATTATAAATTCTCTCATAACCCTAAAACAATGAAATTGTATACAGAATTGTTAACCCATATAAAATACATAATGCCATACAATTCTTCACTGTCATCAAGCTATATTTAAGGCCAAATGTTTATATAATAAGACTAAAGTCAGGTCTGAACCTTGAAACAGGTACATTTGTTATAGGATGTTTTATTTAAATCTGTTCTCTCAAATGATCTTGAGGCAGACTCAGATTTGGCACACATTTCTTTCCCATATATTTCTCTATATACAGGGATGGGCAAAAGTAGGTTTCCAGTTGTAGTACAAATAATACAATAATTAATACATAGTTCAACAATAAACTTTCCCACATAACTGTAAACCTACTTTTGCCCACCCCTTACATTTACATTTTTAAAAAATAAAAGGCAAGTAAGAACCTCACCAACACTTTAACAGCAAATGCATACAATTTTAAATAGGAATACATTAAAGTATAATTTGCTAAATGTTTGTTTCTCCTTAAATATAAAATAGAAATTATACCTTAGAAATAGAACTCTTAAGGAAGAACACACAATCATCTTTTAAAATGCAGGTTAAAAAAACCTAGTGAAGTGCTACTTTCCAAAAAGTGGCTGCAAGTGATTCAAACATAAGCCCTGCTATTTAAAAATAAACAAATGAAAAGCTATAGACATACTACTGCTAAACATATCTAAAGGAAAATTTCATTAACAATTCATTATCTTTATTCAATCATATATTTAAGGTGTAAGCTTAAAAAGTGTTCAAAATAATGTTATACTTACTCTTTTCATTTGGTCTAGAGTAATCGTAGAAGATTTCCAAAGGGATTTTAACAAATCCAAAATCATCTTAAATGTACTTTCTCCAGTTGACTCCAAAACCATTACAATGGCCTTAAAATTGAATGAATGCATGAATGTATTTTTGGTCATTAATTCACGTAAGAAATTGTATCAGATTCCTTTCATCTGTAACTATAATTCTTATAAAAGTTTAAAAACAATTTTCTCCATTAATAGTAACTTGTTTTTTAATCCACACCTGAGGATGTTTTTCATTGATTTTCAAAAAAACAAGATTTACATTATTAAAGAAGTATTATGTCACTGTAGTACAAAAAAGGGAACACAAAAGCCCTAGTTGGTGTGGTTTCAGTTGGTTGGAACATTGTCCCATGTGCACCAGAAGGTCTCAGGTTCAATTATTGGTCAGGGCACATACCTAAGTTGTGGATTTGATCCTCAGTCAGGGCATGTACAGGAAGCAACCGATCGATGTATCTCTCTC